ATCGATGCTTCGTTTCGAACATGCTAGACCTTGGCAGGTAGCTTCTAGATGTTTTCATCACCCTCTTGACCTAAACTATTATATTTAGGTAAAATTTCATGATAGTTCCGACCCCCTAACTTTAATTTTCGATTCTTTTAATGTTTAAATTCGACTATATGGGCAGTGATATACAGTAAAGGGAATAAACATTCTTTGCTTACAAGTTAAGCGGATCCTTGAGGGAGGAAATAGGTCGTAACAATAGGGGTGCCGCCACTAAAGTCGACGAAGGAGCGACGACCCTGATTGCATTGCCAGCCAAGCAGCCAGTGTCTACTGGAAACAACGAAGTTTACTTCCATTGACCTTTGTCCATTAACAGCTACATACCATCTAGATTGCTCTAAATATTGTATGATAGTAACAATTATTAAACCTTATCTGAGAAGAGTGGTACCCGTATGAACCGCATGGGCTGGAATACATCGGTAATTGAGCAGGGTACAACCATAATCCGCCTGTATGCATCTCCTGCCGTGAACTACAATGCTGGTCTGGCTTGCGGTCAATTGAACCATGAAGTCGCGCAATAAAACAAAGCAACATTACAAACAACGAACGGTTGTTGAAACCAAAACTGACTCCCCCGACTCCTTTTTTAAAACCTGTCTGGCTGCTGACCAGCGCCCGTGGCGCGACACGCATAATCTAAATAAAAACTTCTGCGATCTGGTGTTTGCGCCTGTTGATGAAAGATGGGTCGCACCTGGTGGATAGCGCTCGGTTCAGGAACGAAGGCGAACAGCCCTCCGTTGGCGATCGCCTCCGTCGCAAGTTTGAGATATCCTGGCAAACCCTCGAAAATCTCTGCCACCTGCCTCTTCTCCACTGACATTTGCATTTGTTGGTTGATTTCTGGCCAGGCTGGGGTGGTCGTGGCGCAATGCATCGGACGCCGGCCCGCAGCACACCAAGCAGGTTGTCGACACTTCGCGCGATGCCGGCTGTTATGCAAAGATGGAAAGCGATTTTCTCCCCAACTCGGTAACCTGCGCGCGGTTGCGTTGGTTCCGGGTTTGAGGTGGTGGGGTCAGGCCATTGTGAGAATAAGGCTGAGAACCTCGTCTCGCGGAGCAGGTGGCGAAACTGGCGCCTAAGTCAGCGACTTCTTCCTCTGGTAGCAGGAGCCGTCTCTACATTAGACCAACTCACAAACTCTAACGCGAGGTGGATCTGGCCCAATTACAGTCCATCCGTCATATAAGCGTCTGCGAAAATATGGGCAACAATATTGCCCTCCAATGCGCTTCGTAAATGAATGGAATTTCGTAACCGTTTTCATTTCAAGCTCTCGTACAACTAAATCCAGCATAAACCAAATCGCAACCACAACAATAAACACAACATAATAACCACAATTAGGATAATAGAGAACATAACCAGATGTGGACCTAGTTCTTACACTAACACCAACATTACGATATCAAATATTACGCTCAATTTATAGAACATGATAAGTATAAAAAAATATCTGTAATAATTCCCAAAGGCAAAAAATTTGAACAATCAAACTTTATTCACATGATCTTGATCGTTTGACTTGTAATTTTGGCTAAACAATTTTAAAATTTCTACACACAGAATTTTTACCTGAATGAATATGAGACCTTAACATTAGCTAAGGGAGACAAAGAGACCAAAATAGTGGTCGAAACTCCTAAGTGATATTTCTCGAGACACATATAGGTTATAAACACTCACCCCGACGTCCTCCAACACTGATAATGCGAACATATCAATTTTGGACTTCATAAAATAATCATTGCAAATCAGGAAAATGCATCTTGCTACTTACCGTTGTTTTGACTGCGTGTTTTGTAGTGTAAACTCTACAGGTGCTCTCTAGCTTAAACGTTCATCTTTCAATTCAGACTCAACTATCACTGATGGGGTACCTGCCAGAACAGGTGTTTAATGTGATGAAACTGGATTAAAGAAAATTAGACAGAACAAACATTACTTAAGAGGAGAAAAGGTGAGCCATGTTTTAAAGACTGTAGCGGTATAATACTCCATCAAATCTTTTCATTTTTTAATATGTTTGAGAATACGTTTAACAAGCCTCAGAGAGCAATAACTAGTTAAGTGAAACACCTGTTTCCAAACCAGAAAGTACCATATATATATACCCTCACTTTCCAGCAGTTAATGTACCGAATTACAGGTGAAACCAGCATAATGAACTCATATATAGGATTAATTAGCAAATTCAGGACAGATCCACCCCAAACTCACTCATGACTACACCTTCTGTAAAATAATATCACATGATGGTATGCACACAATTAATAATTAAGAAATATCAATAATATTAAGTTTCTTAGTAGAAAAAAATGACAAACTACGATGTTGGATACCGACGCAAGGCAGATAGCCCTCATGTCACTGTATCGTTGTATCACCCACAGGAAGCTTGCAGGAGCCTCTTTATCAAACTCTAAAAGTCATGCCCATCTCACCATAATTATCTATCACGCTGTGGTGAAGAACGTCAATATTTTGAATGACTGGCGCTGCTTTCGTAGCACAGCACCCATTATGGCGGATGGCGGGAGGTTTGGATCAAAAATGGCGCGGCTGTCGCCTCTCCGTGTAAGGGTACCGCACCGAGCAATAATCCTGGGTTCGGCAGAACTTTGTCAACGGAAAGCAGATGTGGGACCAGCAAAAGTGAGGATTAACTTAAATATATACCAGTATATATTGTGAATGGTGAAAACAAAAATACTCACATTTATCAAAAATATATAACTGATCATAAAATCTGATTATCAATATAATTAATACATGATGATAGACACTGTCCTGGAATAATCATAAAGTATAATACAGCACAGTACTGTAGTGCTGCATTGTACTTAAAACTAAAACAAGTAGGGAAATTTGTCCAGTCTTAGAATTCTACTTAAACCAACTGAAATTTTAATATTTGATAAATATGACTTCCTCAGACTTACACAGAGAGATCAATTACAATAGCATGGTCAAGAAATATTAAATAAATCAAAATATATTAATTTAAATAAAATTTGGCTTTTTAGCTGCCAAAAATGTAGTATACAATAGAGTATATTCTCTAAAACATTGTAATAATTTGAAAGGAGACCCTAAATTCACCCAGGTCATCTCAATCTTACTATAGAACTCAGAGCTTTAAGGAATGCGTTATGTATCTTGCCACAGGTAGTGTTAGATGTCTTGAGGAGATACCGCTGCATTGGATAGTACAGATCCTGTCTCAGGTCTTGGCCAAGATTATACTGTAAAAACACACACATTGTAAATATTTGATTTGTATAGGCACATATTGGCTAGCAAGATGCAGGGCAAAATTGAAGTCTTTCCTATAGAACAGGCATAAGAGCCAAATTGACATTTCGAGATATGGATATTAAAAGATTAGGTTCATTAGGCGTCTCATTTAGAAGGGGCGCAAGTGCCTTATTTGCCCAAGCCACCCCCACCACCACTTGCAGTTACCCGTGAGCCCCACACTCCTAGCCCACCACCATCCTGTGTATGTGTCAACACAAATGCCTGACTCTGAGATTATGCTACTTTTTGGCCTTGTTTACAAGCCATGTTTCTGGGTTGCAAGGGCATTTCTTGGCACCAGACAGTGAGACGATGGAAGAGGAAGACTGAAGTGCATTATCAGCCATGGTATCAGTTCACTAACCCACTAATATCCATAATAAAAGCACAAAAACAGGCAGAGTAATATCCCTTCATGTGAATATGAGAAGATATGGCAGGAAACTGGAGTACATGGGTCAGGACCATAGCAGAGTGACTGACTGAGAGTAGGGCATGGGGTTGATATGACACACTCAGTGACCAATGCGAAGATTGTGTGCCTCCTTCTAATGCAATGATTTGAGCCCTTTCGAGACTCTGGCACATTAGTTTTCAAGCCTAAATTATACAGGTGTCCAATATGATATACAGTACTGTAGTAGGTGTAAGTGTGTTTACCAATCAACGGAGATTTGAACTTGGAAAACGGAGGTACACTGTATCCTTCACTAACCAAATGACCACTGTATAAAAATTCACTGAACTGAAAATTCTAATCTTACACCTCATTTTCATTATCCAAAAGCGATTCTCACTTATCCAAAATATGGTCCATCGAAAATTCAAATTGTGTGTGCTCAGTAGTCAGATGGGGCAGCATAACATCATCCTCCCACATCCCCTCAGATTGTGTGTCTGGCATGCCATTCACTTAGTGTTCAGTTTAAGTGCAGTGCTCTCTTTTAATCCGTGTGTATTCATGCCATTCTTTCATGAATCTGCTCACAATGGCATCCAAGCAACATGCTGATTCCTTGGCTACCCCCACCATCACCAAGAGACTATATAATCCTGTGATAATTAAAAACAAGCTTGAAATAAAATGCCATGAATGCAGAAAGTCCCGAGCAAGATCGGGAGAGACCTGCCTCACATAAGATAATGTACGAAATGTATACAGTCTCTCCTCGACTTAAGACGGGGTTCCGTCTCGACAACCAGGTCATAAGTTGAAAAGGCGAAAATAATACATAGAAATTCTAAAATGGGTGTCTCTTTGAAAAGGCGAAAATAATACATAGAAATTCTAAAATGGGTGTCTCTTTTTCTTCTCAGCACCACGAGAACTCTCACTTTTACTCTTGCCAGCCATTTTAAAGGGAATTACAAACGAAAATTTTGTCAGTACACAGTAAGATCACTAACATCGGGACTCAAAAATACGTAATGTGAAAAATATTTTATATGACCATGGCCGTCGTATGTCCAGATTGTCGTAAGTCTAATAATATGTCGTTAGTCGAGGAGAGATTGTATATGTATTTTATTTAGTGTATGTGTTTTTTTGTAGTTGTTGTTAATGAACTGAATTAAAAACATTTTTTAGTTATAATAGTGTTGTTTTTTTTTTTTGCTGGGGGCATAATGTCACCCTCACTCACTCCTGCATCCCACTCAGACTGCAGGTCTGGTGTGCCATTCTCATACTGTTAAGATGATGCCATGACCATACGAAGACCCTAGCCGATTTCATTATTTTTTGGTATAATATTGGGGTGTCCTTGTAGTTAGGTACTAAATTACAGTACATACTGTAGTTTTGTACTAAATTATAGTAGTCAGGTAGGGTTTTTGTTTTTCATGAACCGATTTCATTTATTTATTTTTTTTTAGATAAAGTATTGGGGTTTTCTTGTCGGTGGAAATCCAAGCACTATTTTCCCATTTATTATGTTATTTGCTATCCAAATGGTTTTAAGGAACCTTACCCATTTGGGGAGTGAGGGATACCTGCACCACTATCTCATAATGGCATTTCAGATGCTTATATCCATTCTATAGGCAAATCCTTAATTTATGCCTCCACAGTGCTACAAATGTAAAACCAGTCTCTTATTTTTCCTTTTTTTTATCACACAGGCAAATACTGCACAGTATTCATATTAAGTGCTTAACTTCCTTCTCTCCTCTAAAGCTTCACCCATCCTGACCTTACATTCACTAAACTCAATTTACTTACATTTTGTGCAGTACAGATAAATCTACCACTTTACTTTGTCCCTTTTTGAAATACAGTATCATCATACTTGTACTCAATCCAACACTTCTCTTCATATTCTTCTGTTAAGTAATAAATTTTCCCCCTCTTGGCTAACACTACAGAAAACCAGACATGGGATAATTACATTGGAAATATACTGGAATCAATTATGATTACATGTCACTCTTATAACTATGATAATGATTACCCTTGAACAAGTGTAGTCAATTGAAATCAATTACAATAAACCCATATCTGCATAACACCTCAGCAAAAAGGAGGATGAGCACAAACTGTATCCTTCCATCCAATTCAAATTTAGCTGCTGCCTTGCTCATTTGATTTTAATGCCTTTAACTCCTGCATACTGAAAAGTCATAGAGACATTACAGACTTGTCCAACTCCCACACCTATTAAAAAATTCTCATTTAAGCTCCCACTAACTTTTACGAATGCTCCATTGCTGTTTCAGAATGATTTTATGCATCAAATTATTTAACCTTTTCACCTCATACAGCATACTCATGATATTCTCATAATTCATTCCTATGCATCCAATCAAATGCCTTCCCCAGATCCATGTAAGCTACACATGACTTGAATTTTTTTTTTTTTTTTTGGCCCTCTTCAAAGAGTATTGGAGGTACTCAACCTCAACATTTTCTAACAAACTCTTGTTTCTTACTAAATCCACAAAATAATTTCCTTTGGCTTCTCATCACAGTACAGGTATTAGCTTTCAATAACACATCCTTGGTATGTTCCATGGATATTTTTTTCATATCTATTAAGCATTCTTAGTACCTTGACCCTAAATTCCCCTAGAATAAAGAAATTAACAATAATAAAATGATTGGAAAATGAGACCAAAAAGTAGGATTTTAAGCTTCAACTTTCACAATAGTGAATACTTTTAAGGCTGATCAGGCAGAGTCAATCTACTGCTTCTAAGAAAAAAATATTCTGAGACAAAAGATTTACCGTACCTACCTCTTCCCAAGCACGGTAAACAGCCCTAAAAGCTGGCTGCTTGCCACTGTGGAATGTACCCCGATTACCATGAAGAACAAATACTCCTCTCTTCTCTGCTGCCTTACAAACACTCATGTACATACAGTGATCAGGACGCAGATTGTATTCACACCCATAAACATACAGTTTGTCTGAAAGTGAATACAGGTAATGTCACCTTAAAAATAATACACCCTGTACCTAAAATGTATAGTTAATATATTTATCTTATCATTAAAACAGTGGTAAATATTATAACTAATTCTAAAATTAAATTCCATGGTGACTAACAGTGTATGAGCAAAAAAAAAAATAACAAGAATGAATCAAGAGATGACATACACTGATGAAAATGCAATGAAAATCTTCTAAAAAATTAAATTCTTTGTAAATGTAAAGTACACCTAACGCCTCAAAAATCTTTAGCTTCAGTGCAATATGGCAATGCTCCCCCTCACTCATGTCATACTTTTTCTTGTATTTAGGTTAATTTGGGGGGATAATCAGAGGTTTTGGCAGGGGAAATAATTATCACTTTTTGGTAACTAGGCAGCAGTAATTATATACCACAGAATGAAGAAGTTTACAAATATTGAATACTAAAGAGAGCATTTACACACAAAAAAAATATCAGAGATTACTGGAGCCCAGGTGCCTGAACTTGCTGCTTAAACTTGTGCCACCCAGGACCACACCCCTAAACCAGATGTGCTGCTTGTTAGTGTTGTATGAACTCATATAACCAGGTTCAACTATCTTATACCTCTGCTTGATCTTAAGCTGTTGGGGACTCACAGGGCAGGGCAGTGAGTAGTGGTGGACATGCAGGAGGTTGGCAGTGAAGATGGTGGACAAGGCCTTTAAGGGCCACCTTCAGACCACAGACAACCCCTCTGGATTTACATATCCATTGTACAGTACTTCAGCACAAAAAGTTGCAATTTTTTTTAAATAACAAGAGATTTTATGTGCACCATTGCTGTATGGGGGAGTTGGGCTGTAACTATATACCCACACTCAAGACTGTGTGTGTGGATATAAGAGGCACAAATGGTTACCGTATGATAGATTTGGGTTTGTTGGGTCTAATTCTTATGAAGGTCAAATTATCAATGTTTTTTTTTGTGTGTGTGTTTTTTTTAGAAATTCAAACTCCATAAATACAATACGTTAAAATTACCCAAAATTTAAGTAAATAAATTAGAACCAGTAAAATTCCATTGTATATCTTGGGTTACAATTCCTTATTTTAGCAGCACTAAACAACCTGGGTTGCATTTTCCATGAGAAACATTTATAGGTGTGAATGAATTTACTTCCAGACTACTGAAATTAATTAATTTATTAAACACAGATCATGTACAGTCTCATTCAAGATTCTTCGAACACTGCTGGAGACAGCTGGCAACTCGAGGCAATTTGTTTACTATAGTACGTAGTATAATATAATACGAAACAACAAAGCCCAACCATTAATTAATCAACGGGGAACTAAGTAACCAATCACCGATAACCTTTTACATTCATTCATAATTTTTATTACGTACTATAGTAAACAAACGGCCTTGAGTTGCCAGCTGTTTCCGGCAGCGTTTGAAGAATCTTGAACGAGACTGTACCAAGAATTGGAGCCAGAACCAATAGTATATTCAAACAAACCTGGATGATAATGGAAGATAATATTGATAATATCTTGGTCTCCCCAGGTAATGGATAGTTTATAGTGTCTATAGATGGGCACCACATACTCCTCCCATCCAAACTTACGTAGGCGGGTTAAGTTCATCAACATCACCCCTGAGTTTACACCTGAAGAAAGTAAAAGGAAAAGGAAAGTTAAAGGATTTCAACTAAGACACTAGACACATGATGCTTACTGAAAGGTATAGCTATAGCTGTATCCTGTCCCAAAGTTATATCTCTCACATTCCAGGTAATTTCTCAACACTTAAATGGTGGTCGTCATCAGTGGATGTTAGCAGTAGGGACGGTGGCCAACATCAATGTATGTTACACGTTCATTGTGTTCCATTTTTTACACAAAGGGGGCAGATTAGCCACTAATGAGGTTTAAAACTGACTTAAAACCGAGCCTTTTTTTCATGAACCCATAACACAGACAACTCCTTACAAGATATTAAAGTGTAATAAATTTTATAATGGGATCCTGAAAAGTAAAACCTCAATAATAAATGCTACTGGAGGAGAAGAGAGGTACAAATTTATACAGGTATATACTGTACTTACTGCCTCAATTATACCTTTACTATTATCCTCCTACGGCTTATGTCCTCATTATACAGTATTTCTTTCTTTTACACTTTTACAGTCCAATCAAACTCCTTATGTTTTTGGTCTAAGTAAAACCTTCTTAATCCGGACTAATTTGGAGAAATCCAGTCCATATTAAGTGAATTTCCAGATAAAGCAATTTCCGGAGGAAGTTTATTTGATCTGGAAAAAGTCTGGATTAACTGAGAAAAATCCGGATGGCAATCCAGATTCCTGTCTGGCATATAAGAACACCAGCCCCAGCCACTTTGTTTACAAGTCAGTCATGCTGCTACAGCCTTTGTGTATGCATCTCTTTAACTCCTGTGGACTATTTGTGACTTTGTGGACTAATTACTATGGCTCCGCAGGAAAGGAAAGACAACTGGAAGTCAGAAGAGGGCCAGAAAGGAGTTTAGCTTGAAGGCCAAGCTAGCAGTTCTGGAAGATGAGAAAGGTGTGTCTGCAACTTTGTGGTAAATACTGTGTGCCCACTATGTACAAGATTTGTACACAGTATATTATATGGCAGGTTGGTGAGTCAAGTGATTCAAAAGTGTTTATTCATTTATGCCATCAAGTGGGTAGATCCAGATGATTTCATGTTAATCTGGACTCAATCCAGATTAACAAAAATTAGTCCAAAGTGGTTTGCCAGTCTGGATAAAACAGAAATCTGGATTAAGAGGGTTTTACTGTACTCTTGCTTAATCTCTGCTTCCCCAAGCTTTTCCCATTCTAATATCATCTTTTTTGTCCCTGTTTTTATTTGCAAACCCATCTATTTATCATTGTCAGTTTTGTAAACATCAGGTTGTGGTTTGATCTTGCCACCGTGCTAATCCTCACGTCTAATAATATGTAATCCCATTTCAATCCCTCTCCTCATATACTGTATATACTGTGCCGGTATTTATGTAAAAAAAAAAAAGAAAAAAAGGAAGAAATTTCTTTCTCTACAAACAATTATCAAAAACCTCCATTTACATTTCTGCCTAAACCCCTCCACCTTCCCCTTTTCCACAATGTTCCTCTTACAGTAATTTACCGCCTTTTCATTTTGAAGTGAAGCTATCAAAGCTTTATCAAGATACAGTCTCAGAGTTACGAACGGGTCATGTTCCCAGACCCTGTTCGTATGTTGGAACTGTGTTAATTCCATAGGTTAGGTTAAAGCACATCCCTACCATACAAAACAACAATAATATCCCATACATACCATATAATGTAAATACTGTAAATAAAATAATGTTAAACAATATAAAGTAAAGTAAAAAATGGGATTTTAGTTACAGATATTTGTGATGAGTATACTGTAATGGGATCCCATTAGTAAGTGTGGGTGTTCGTAAATCAGTGTTAGCAGTAAGTTACCTGTAGTGAGTTCGCTAGCGTGACAAATTTTCAAGCATTTAGATTGAGAACGATATTGAACTCGTTTCGCAATTCCCACGGTTGTTGTGGCCAGTTCTTATCACATCAATTGAGTATGTGTTTTTGTGAACAATTCAGAAAATTATTAATATTTGACAGATATATTATAATAAATTGATAAAAGAAAATCAAATTACACGTCCCCTGTTTCCGTACATCACACAATTGTTTGTGTTTGTAAATGCAAAAATGTAATATTGATCAAACCTCAAGGTCTACATAATAACTGAAACTTTGGTAGTGATTAAATAAGTCATATTTAAAATAAAAAAATATACTAATCAAACTCACCCCACCATTTGCCAGTGACAAGAAAGAAATGACCTGACTGACGCTTTTTAACTCCTGGTTTGGTCAGTAATGCATATCTATATTTACTCATAATATCTCTTATAAATAATTATTTAAAATTTACTTTCAAAAATATTCAAAATACTGCATAATCTTGACCTCAGTGTAAATGGATATAAATAAATCCATGATCGTTTGATCCCATATTTCTTCACATATAATTAAAGAAAATACGGTATATTTAATATATTAGATATATATAAAAAATAAAAATAAATTCTATCATCTGTTATCAAAATATTTGAGTCTGAAAAACAAAATTAAACAATCTTCATTTTACATAATAAAATTACAATTATATATAATATATAAATATATATAATATATATATATATATATATATATATATATATATATATATATATATAATATATATATATATATATATATAAAATAAATAAAAAAAAAAAAATAATAAAGTGTACTTACATTTGCTGCTTATATTACAGTTCGTACATCATGTTCAATTGATTTATGTGTTTTGTTTGTGAAGAATTGCAGAAATAATTTATGTAATATTTATGTATACAGTATACCTGTACAGTATATGTAAAATGTAAAATTTTAAATAAGAGAAAAACAAAATACATAGCGTTTTAGACCCGCGGGCTCTGTTTACTCTAAACTGTGTGAAGTTTTTAAGTGTCCTCAGTGAATTCTGATTACTGTTTCTCCAATCTTGTGACTATGGAAAAGAAGAATATCTCTGGTGATCGTAAAAGAAAGGCTATAACACTTGAAGAAAAGCTTGATGTTTCATGACTCCTCAACATCACCCTTCTCCCCCATCAAGTTATATTCATATTTTTTCAAGGTAAAGTGTAACATTTACTGTATGATTTCATTATTAGATATGAATGTAACATTTATTTAGACTGTGCTATCCTTTGTGTTAGGCTAACTACGAAATTTTTTTTCTATTTGGAGTAATCTGCACCTAACCCTATTTTCTCCATAAGCCCTGTTATTTCTATTACACGAATTTCTATAACACGATGTTTTACAAGAACACTACTATCGCGTTATAGCAGAACTACCTGTACTATGAAGAAAATATAAATTAACATTCAAAATAAAAAAAATTGAAATATCTGAAAGTTTGAGTTCTATACAACTCTTCCCCGACTTATGACGGGGTTAGGGACCCAAATCCAGGTCGTAAGTCAAAATGGTCGTATGTCAAAAATGCTTAAATGGGTGTCTCTTTTTCTTCTCAGCACCACAAAACTCTCACTTTTAAGCTTGCCAGCCATTTTAAAGTGAATTACAAACGAAAATTTTGTCTGTGTACTGAAGTTGGGACTCGAAAATACGTAATTTGACAAAATTTAGGTACGACTGAGGCAGGTCGTAAGTGTGGGTGGTCGTAAGTCAGGGAGGAGCTGTAGATGAAACAGTACTTATCAAAACATATCACACCTAACAATAATCTTTATAATATTTCATATACATGTACAGTATTACCTCTCTATACTGAAATAATTGGTGAGCAGCTAGTTCGGTATGCCGAGTTTTTCGGCATAAAACAAATCAGAAAAAATTCATGCAATACCAAACTTTGTTCGGTACGGTATACCTCCCTGTATATGAAAATTTTTCGGCATTTTTAGTTCAGATAAACTGCCACAATACATTCGTTATGCAAGGGATCACTTACTGAATGGGTTAGGTTCCTGGAGAACTATTCGTTAAGTGAATTTTTCATACAGTATCTCAAAAAACAGAACAAATGAGAAAAATAGGGTTCAGTTTAGTTACCCAAAAATACCAGTTGAAAAATAGAAATAAGACAGCTTGGCCTGGTGGGGGGAGGGGAGCTAGGGTGATGTAGCTACAGACAGACTAACTTGACAATACAGTGGTCCCTCGGTTAACTAACACAATTCGTTCCAGAAGGTTAACCGAAACCATTGTTTCAATGGGATTTGGGGTAATTGGTTCCAGCTCACCGAAAATTACATACAAAGTAAAAAAAAATGCAGTAAAGTACACTTACTTTGAGGTGTGTATGTAGAAGGCTCCTGGTTGATGATGATGATGATGGGAATTAGAAGTGGAGGAGAAGGGAGAAGAGAAGGAAGTGGGGGGTGGAAGAGAAATCACCCCATGCTTCATGCCGTCATTTCACCCATAAAATTTTAAGTTCACTAGGTGTAATTCAAGATTATTTTCTTTAAAATCAACACTGCACTGCACTATATATTGTCAATATGTTCAATATATTTCAGAATAACCAATAATTGTACAGTATAGTCTGGATTTACGCGGTGCCTTGCCAGAATTAAATGTTTTAATTACGCTGTAAATTTCATCATTTACGCGGCAAGCGGTTGGAGAGGTCCAGACCGCCGCGCCATTTTTTACTCACGCGGTCCATTCTTGACCATACGCGGGAAGCAGCGCGGTGAGTGGTGCGCATTAGGCCGGTCTTACGTTATCGCTGATGTCATATGACGTATCGGACTGTGATTGGGCCACGCATCCTTACCACCCACGCATTCCCTCCGCCGCTAGCTGTGATTGGTCTTATGTAACATGACGTGCCCTGCCACCAGAGGGTAGAAGTCGCTAACCTAGCCAGGCCTGTCTCATTGTTCTCAGTCCGCGTACAGTGGTCCCTCGGTTAACAAGCACAATCCGTTCTAGAAGGTTGCTCGTTAACCGAAACCATTGTTTAAATGGGTTTTTGGGTAATTGGTTCCAGCTCACCGAAAATTGCCTAAATTCAACAAAAAAGGTAGAAAAGTACACTTACTTTGAGTTGTGTATGTAGAAGGCTCCTGGATGATGATGATGGGAATTAGAATGGGGGTGGAGAAGGGAGAAGAGAAGGCATTGGGTTGGAAGAGAAGTCACCCCATGGCGCCATTTCACCCATGAAATTTTAGTTCTCTTGGTGCAATTCAAGATTATTTTCTTTAAATCAACACTGCACTGCATTATATATTGTCAATATGTAAAATAAATTTCAAAATGACCAATAATTTGCTTGCAAAAACAGAAAAAAGGCATTTAGTTGAAGAGAGTCTCAAGCAAGATGTTACCTCCACTGAAAAGATACAAAGACTGATGCCTGTATGGTGTGTTGAGAGGCTGGATGGCACGCATAAAACTAGTTTCATTACCTTCAATTATGTTCAATAATTGTTAAAATGAGTAAAAAATTTAATATTAAACTTTTAAAATTATTGAATAGTATAAACTTCTTGATATTTGCTAAAATGGTAAGGAATTTAAGCCCTAGAACCGATTACTGTATTGGCGGACTAATACTACAGCTGGTGGACCGCCAAATGCAAGCGAAATCATGTTCAGGTTGGCTCGTAAGAAACTCGTTAATCGAGGGATTGCTCGTTAACCGAAGTTAAGAATCTTATGGAAGGCAACTCGTTAACCGAAATCTCGTTAACCGAGGAACCACTGTATACAGTTCTCTCTTGTGCCCGCTATTCCCCTCACAACTCACAATGGCTTCCGCTGGACCCCCAACACCCGAGAAAAACCTTGAATTATTACCTGGACCAAGCCATGATTATGTGAAGGAAATCATCGAGTTGGGGGAGAAAATTAAGCTCATCCTTGACAACGACCCAGACAAGCATCGGTATGAAGTGTCTAATAACCATCTGACGAAAGTTATGGAGCCGTATATCCAGATCTATCACGACAACATCAATGCTAGTCGTCAACGTAGTATTGAGGACTTCCTCGCCCGCAACCCACCACAACCACAGCCAGCCCAAGTCAGTGATAATGACGATATGGACTTTGAAGGGTTTGTCTGGGAGGCCCTGCAAACCTCTGCGAGTAGTGAAAGTGAAAGTGATTCACCAGAGGGCAACTAATCTGCCCTCTGCCTCGGAACCAGCCGCCATCCACGTGCTCCGACCCAGCTTTTCTACTAACGCAAGTGTTCAAAAAGCTAATATTATTGATATTTCTCTTAATTATTAATTGTGTGTGCATACCATCATAAAATTAAGATGTTATTTTTACTACAACGTACACATTGTGTCGGAAAAAGTGGAGTTTGGGGGTCGGCCCAGTCTCTATTTCAATTAATCCCATATGTTCTGTTATTTCGTTTACGCATTTCTCGTTTTACGCGGACCTCCACGGGTTCAATTGACCGCATAAATGCAGACAAAACTGTACGGTAAAAACGTAAAAATAGTTTATGTTCAAGAGAGCCACAAGCAAGATGTTACCTCCACTGACCAGATATACAAACTGACGCCTTGGTGGGTGAGTCAAGTGGCTGATTGGCGCACCAAAAACTAGTTTCTTGTACTGCAATTATGTTAAATAAGTGTTAAAATCACTAAAAAATTTAATATAAAACTTGAAAATTATTGAATAGTACATCCTTCTTGATATTTACTCAAATGGGAACAAATTTAAGCCCGAGAACCGATTACTGTATTGGCGGACTAATATTCCAGCTGGTGAGCAGGCGAAAACATGTTGACATGATTTCGTAAGAATTTCATAAACCGAATTTTTTTTCATTAACCGAATTGAAGATTTTTATGGAAGGTAATTCGTTAACCGAAATTTCGTTAACCGTGACATTCGTTAACCGAGGGATCACTGTACTATGCTAACTCTATATACACGTTCACTTCATTCACACAGTACACACCCATGCTCTTCTTATTTTATAGCAATATTCCATCTCCACAGAGATGTACTGTCAAATCTATATTACTACTGTTTTTAATTTATTTTAAGCTATATTACAGTATTGTATATGTATTTGACTCAGATTTAATTAAATGTACAAAACAGTTATTGTTAAGTGAAGAAACAGGCAACTTATAGGTAGTTAGGCTTTGACGAGTGTTATCTGCAGCCATGGAACTTAACCCTATTTCCCATAAGCCTTAAGTCATGCCAACAACGGGGTTTTTCAGGAACCTAATCCCCACAGGCGAGGGACTACTGTGTAGCAAATTTGTTCAATATACAGAGGTAATACGTACTGAAATCTGGGGAGTGGTTCAGTATATAGTGAATTTCAATGTATAGTACTGTATAGAAGTTTGGTATAGAGAGGTAATACTGTACTGTACTGACAGGCATACTGTATATGATACTGCAACAACTGCAGTCAAAATAACAAAGTTGCAATCATCATCCACAAGGGGTAAATAAACAAAATGATTGCAGTGTTACCTAGTTTGCCATAATAAGGATGCTTAGCAAAACGATTGTACCATCCGGTGGCCAGATCTTCATGTTCAGGAGCCATGGCTGCCATGTGAGATGAATTCATTTTGTAGAAGTGACTCCACAACTCCTCCAGAGGTGCCAGGAAAACAACATCAGTGTCTACATACACCAAAGCATCCACATCTTTCAGCAGTGACTAAAAAAAAAAAATTTACTGTTTCAATTGCCATATGGAAAAGAACAGAGTATGGCAAAGAAAACAAATTCAAATTCTTAAAATTTGTTATGAGTTCTGAAGGAAAAAAATTCAAATCAGAGGATACATGAACTTCTAGCACATATAATGGTGTTCTTGATTAAGTTATGTGCAGGGTACGTCCTGCTGAACGTTCATGGTATTTATCATGTAGAAACTTTCAAGGTAATGTTAAGAATCTGCACTGCATCAGGGTAAACACACTATTTTAGGACCTGTACCATTTTTCATCCACCAATTCTGATAACATGGATTAATACCTCTTGTACAAGCAGTATAAATGTGGCATTTTTTTTAGTATTCACGTCACCTCATACCTTACCCATTCAGCATCCAGTACAAGTTATCAACATTAGACAAAAATTAAAAGCAATGACGATGTTGCCTGTAATGAAAATTATAAGAAATAAAAATGTGAACAGTAATAAAGTAAATCTATTTCAGAGCACACCATAATATGTAAGACTAAACACTACGCACCAATAAGCCAAAGTAAACATTTCCAGATGTTTTTATAACTCCACATTGAGACATATTTATTAACGATCTAGAGCAGGTTTTATTACCTTGTATGATATGAGCTAAGTAAGAGGTATTTCATGGAGTAAACTTTATGCAAGCATGGGATTTACTGTACAGTGTGCAATCATGGCTGGTAAATACAGTACAGTCAATACTGTATCAGATGTTGGGTTATGAATGAAATGACCAGTAAACCAGATGGACATTTTGTGCCTTAGAGTAAGGTGTCCAGCAGAAAGAATGAATCCAATAAATGTCAGAGAGCCTATGTTTACTTGATTCTGGTCATCCTGTACCAGTGGGAAATGGCTTGCCAAAGTGGAAAAACTTCTTTAAATAATGAAGCTTGTACCACTGTGATGTAAACATACAGGCATGAAGAGTCTCTGGGAGGCACAAGGCTTGAAGAGTTTTCTCCAGGCTGCTGCATCTTGTCCTGGGGGGAAGATGATGCTGTGAAGGTTTAATGACACTCTCTCACGTACATCAGCTGGCCATGATGCGTACTGTAAAGTATAATAATGTATCTTATCAAACAGTGTTGATATATGCTTAAAGCAATACAAATATGCTGAACTCGGAGACAAACACTAAACTACTGAGGCATATAAGATTTACATCACATCCTCATTCTGTTTGAACACACAAGATAGTCAATGCCATTCTCATGTTGCAACAGCATAACAGAGCCTTAATTTATAATGATCTTAATATGAATGCATACAATACCCATGGTATTTGTTGTAACTTGACAAGACTGAATAAAATAATAAAAATTAATTTCAGACATGGAATAAGAAGTAATACAATAAAAACCCAGAGTACTGGGCTAATTAAGCCTAGTGATGTCGTTACTCAGATGGAATTTGATATTAGGACGTCCACATCAGCAGGGAGGCAATCATTCAAAACAACAACCACCATATTATGCTAACACAGATTGGCTTATTTAAGCTCATAATAAATCAGTTCAAGTACAATAATCCTATTTTCAGCAATTTCATTTTTTTTTTATTTTAAGTCTTTATTGATGTACCTAGTTAAGTCTGTAGACTCCAGAAGCTTTCACAGCTGCAAAGAAGATTTTTTTAAGGTTTCGGAGTCCCGACGTACTTACGTACAGGTATGTGGCATGGATGGCCTTATGCAGTGTGAGATAAAGTGATGATGTGGATGTGTACAGTTTACCTTAGGCAATGAAGTGGATGTGTTCACAAAATCCACTTCATTGTCCTAGGTAGATTTAACATTGAGTAAAAGGAAATAGGTTCCAATCCTTTATTATTCTGTATTTTACATACTCTGTATGTCAAAATGAACAAATTTTGCTATAAAAACAATGAAAATAATACACAGCACATCAAAAAATACAATAGCACATACTTTATGTACAAAAAATAGCTCTTCATCCTTGAACAATTCTATGGGTGATGCCAAGAGTGTACAAGTTCAGCCAGTCCGCTGACTTGAGAGAAACATGGCTGCTTTTACACATATGCTGTGATGTCACATTGGGATAGCTTGATGCATCCAAACATACATTCGCCTCCCACTGTTCATGCTCACATTTTACATTTTTCTTTTTTATAGTTTTATATACAGTGGGGTATGCTATAACGAACGGATCCTACTACGAATATTCCTATAACAAACGGTTTTACCTATAAAATTGAGAATGCTATAACGAACAAAACTCCTACAACGAACATTATTTAAATTTTTTTTTTTTTCTAATTTATTGTTTTTTTATTACAAGTATTAATGATATTGGTTATTTCAGGGGTTTAGATGCATATTTATGCACTTTTTTACAATTTTTACAATTTTATATTATATTTTTCAGTGTTAAGTGGTTGTATTTGGGGGCCTGGAACGGATTACTCCTATAACGAACGAATGCTATAACGAACAAGGTTCTAGAACCAATTAGATTCGTTATAGCATACCCCACTGTATTTCCTTTATTTCTAAGTCACATTACAGTACAGAAATGATTTTTCCCACAACTTTTACAGTTTCATTACATGAATCAGTGCCAACATGCAGAGCCATCTCATGGCAACAGCTGCCTGGCGAGATGGTGACGTGTTATGTAGTGAAGATTATACTGATGAGTATGGGACACAATTTCACATCAGCTGAGATTAAGTGGATCACACTTATGATATGCTTTCATTATACTGTACAGTACTGTATTCTGTTCCAAATTTCTGCATTATCTCTGGAACAGAGCGTTTATTGTCGACCATGGCTAGCACCTCAAGGTTATCCTTCATGGTAAGGAGCTTTCTGCTCCTTGGGGCCTTACCTAAACATACCTGCTTGGGCAATGTTCTCACAATGGGTGTTGCTCATGTCACGAGAGAACAGGCACGTCTGCACTGAGTAATATTGTCACATGTAGACCGAGTACAGCGAGACCGTGTTGTTTTGATGCATGTGGGACCACAAAGTCCACACTGCATTGTTCTACTACAATAGCAATGACCCACAAGATTTATATATTTTTTTATTTCCAAATAATTTTTTCAAAGATTCATGTGGTCCGATATTGGTACTCGGGATTTCTACTGTAGGTACTATAATTATGAGAGAAAAATATAATCAGTTAAATAACAGGTTGCCAGATTACTGTATGGTCAAAATACACACAAACTACCTGTTAAGGCAAAAATAATATTTATGCATAACTTAGAATCAGCACATAGTACTGGAAACATCCATGCACAAAGAGGAAGAGATGAGAAGGTATCCCTCGAGATACGAACGTTCCTGATATGAAAATTTGCTTGTACAAATTTCATAAATTGACACCACTATTTCAAGAAATGAAAACTTCCCCCACTTATACGAATTTAGGTCCAGGCAAAAATTCAAATTTTGTGCGCCGAGAGTCAGTTGGAAGTAATACATCATGAACTCGGTGATGACCCTACCAAGATTAGGAAAGATCTTGGTCTGGCTGCTTCTACTGCGGCCACAATTTACAAGCATGCTGTGGTGTCCGTTGTAGATAGCAGTGATGAAGTGGACAACCCTACACATCTTGCTGAGTAAGACCCTTGCTCAGCCCATCCCCTTGTGGTGGTGACCACAAACTACCCTCCCATAAGGTAATGTAGCAAAGTTAAACAGTATTTAATTTTTTTCATGTGTTAGGTAGTAAATTAGAGCAGTTGTGTATTATTTATCACAAGTTAGGTAGGTTTTGTTTTTGTTTGTGAACCGATTTCATGTTTTTAGGGTATGATATTGGGGTATTTTTGTCACTGGGGAACTGAATCCTATTTTTCCTATATGTTTATCTATTCATGATACAAAAATTCACCTAACAAATGGTTATATTTTAACCTAACACATTTGTATCTTGAGGGATACCTGTACAGTTCAAGTAAACGGCCTGAAAATACATATTTAGAAGAAGAGAATGAATAAAAGGCATGAAACAGAGTGAATAAAAAGCCTTACGAGAAATGGAAAAAGTGATATGGTAAGGATTGAAAGTTCAGTTGTTGTTTAAGAAGGAAGAAATAATGAATGAAAAAGTAAGTGATATACCAGGTTGAAGAAAGTGAAAAAATACCCACAATATAGGGGGAGGAAAAGAAACTGACAACATAATCTGAAAATATACAAGGAAGATGAGAAATGAATAATGACTAAGATGTTTCTGATCAAAGGAGTGAGTTTGTATATTATTAACCAGAAAATACTGTACTGTGGTAGTGATCTGTCAGCCTTGGATAGTCCGAGCACACCGTAATGCTTGTTGAATTTTATAAAAAAAATTTCACTAATACTCATGTAGATATACTTTTACTGATTAGAGACCAAGCATCAGCCTAAGCAAAGGACCCTCCTGGAAATAAGCACATGACAACTTTGTTTGCTATACTTGGGCAAGTTACCTTACAATTTACCATTGTTGTTTACCTGCACTATATATCCCCACAACCTACATGCACCATTTACCTACATTCTCTATATTCATGCTGAACTATAAAACTGCATAGTTTATAAAATGCCCGGTATTAAAAAAAAAACATAAACAAATCTAGCTTACTGGGATCTGGTATTAACATGTTCAGCTAATTTAGTTGCTTGACACATACTGTAATTAATCCTCCTCCCTTCCCTGCCACGTTCCCCCTTTCTGTCCCTTCCCATGCTAAACTCAGCCATGCCTCCTCCCCATCCCTACTTTCCAACTCCCTGATAGCTCTTCTCTCTCTACACATACAAACAAGATATGGAATATATAAAAATACCGTAAAATATGAAAATGGAAATGTGATAGTGTTCAGGTTGGGGAGAGAGGGGTGGATTAGGCAGACCTGGCGTTGGTTATACGTAAGACAGACACAGTCCTGGTAACATGAGACAAGGACCCCAAACTCTCCTCCCACTCTCAGTGTGTGTAAAAGCTGAGTGGTGCTCTGTGATAAGCTTGGCTATAAAGATACTGTCAATAACACATGTAAAGTTTTCAACATTGCAGGAGCATATCATAGGTTAATATTATTAACCCAAAAGAAGAAATATAAGAATACTGTACTGCACTGTATTTTGTCTAAAGGAAAACTCAATACACTGCCCAACAAAAATTAATAATACACAACTCAGATATGTGAAGCTAGCCACTCACTGTACTCTTCACAACTCCTAGCTGGCAACTCACCCAGATGAACAATGACACATTCATATACTGTACTGTATCAACAACTCGTTGTTGTGCACCACCTCTGATAAACATGTAAGAGCTTATTGAATCAAGTGCCCCAACCTAATTCTGTCTGAACACTTTAGGCAGAAAACACCATCCTTTTAAAGCAAGAAATATGTGCTATACTGTATATAGATCTATACTGTATTGTTTATGAAATAGGGCATGGTAGCTCTCACAATGACATGATTAAAGTGTTGATAACAGTATCTTAAATAGCTATTTTCTTCTGAATACTGTTCATACTCTACAGTATTTTGATTATTTTTATGTACAGTACAGATAATGTAATTAGCATTTAAGCATGACAAGAACAATTACATATTCATTTGTAACTAAATAAGTGAAAACTATTCAAACAGATACTGTACTGAACTATGCTCTAATGATTTGTATAAAAATTTTAAAAGGAATTTACTTGAGAACCAGTAAATATGTTATATATAAGGCGTTTATTGTAAGGCGTTTCAGAGGCACAGAATAGCTAACGCGTTAGCTATTCTGTCTGCACAGACGCTGCTGCTGACTTCTGCGCATGACACTTTCAGAGGGAAAAGCAAATGCCTCGATCAGGCGTTAGCATTTGCAGCGGCGCCCAAATAGCTAACAACCAATCAGCGAGTTTCTCCCACTGAAATACTGTGTAAATACTGTACATGGATCATGGCCGCTTATGAAGAATATTGTTATTAATATTGAAGAGTTGGGTGCATGTAGGGAATAAAAAATGTGATATAATTCTATATACGGTAGTATATTGGATAGGACCTAAAACAAAGCGCA